GACCAGGCAAAGTCAGCAAAGAAACAGATCTCTCCTCTGTTCTTCTGCAGTTGACAGCGAATGAGGAACATGTTCGCACTTTTGACAAAGCAACAACTCTGCCTGGAAGCTGCAAGACATATCGATCTTGACAGCGTGTCTCATGAAGAGAAAGCAATGAGAGTGGCGTTTATTAAAATGCAAAGTGAGCACCTCTCCTCTGGGAATATCTCAGAGATCTGCAAAGTCTGCAATGAAAAGTCATAAATCTCAGTACTAACTCATGCATTTGTCATCAAATGATCTGTGCTGCTCCACATTCATTTTATATCTCTATATTCTTACTGTACGACAGCTATTGACGTATTCTCCTATTGGGGAAACATCTGACGACACTTAACTGCAAACTCCATTTAGCCTCCTGAGCAATGAAAGAGAAATATTGCTCTGAGCAATAAAATCATCTTCTGGAAAGCCATCTGTAATAAATATCTCAATCTTCTAAACTGTGGATAAGCTGCACAGTGAGCGCATTTCATTATTATCAGCAGCACTTCAACACGTGAAACGATTAAAGCATTCTCCATTCAACACAGGTGCCTAGCAGCTCAGTTTTAGACCAGTGTTATTTTAGTATCATTACTATTAGATACAGAGATAGAGATACTATTATAGCTCTTATTAATATTTGAAGTTGTTTTTTCTTTTTATATTTTTATTTTAGTTAACATTTTAATGTAAGCATGTAATCTGCAAAGTCTGCAATGAAAAGTCATAAATCTCAGTACTAACTCATGCATTTGTCATCAAATGATCTGTGCTGCTCCACATTCATTTTATATCTCTATATTCTTACTGTACGACAGCTATTGACTTATTCTCCTATTGGGGAAACATCTGACGACACTTAACTGCAAACTCCATTTAGCCTCCTGAGCAATGAAAGAGAAATATTGCTCTGAGCAATAAAATCATCTTCTGGAAAGCCATCTGTAATAAATATCTCAATCTTCTAAACTGTGGATAAGCTGCACAGTGAGCGCATTTCATTATTATCAGCAGCACTTCAACACGTGAAACGATTAAAGCATTCTCCATTCAACACAGGTGCCTAGCAGCTCAGTTTTAGACCAGTGTTATTTTACAGGGCTCGACGCTTACTTTTCTTTTTAGGAGCACTTGTGCTCCTAACTTAAAAAATTTAGGAGCACGTTCAAAATTTTAGGAGCACCTTCTAATCAATAATCCAAAATGTTATCAAAAAGTAGCCTTCCCATTACGAGGTAATATTTGACTCCTCTAACTTTATTAAAAGTATGTCATCTTTTGTCAAATTCTTAAATTATATTTTATAAGCTTAACAACAGAATAAGAGTAGAATAAGAAACAAGTTAAAAATCAAATGTTCAACACAGGTGCCTAGCAGCTCACGCACTGTCGAGCCCTGTTTTAGTATCATTACTATTAGATACAGAGATAGAGATACTATTATAGCTCTTATTAATATTTGAAGTTGTTTTTTCTTTTTATATTTTTATTTTAGTTAACATTTTAATAATCTTGTTGTGCATTTTGTCATTTTTTTTTTTTTTTTAAATATGTATATACAGTTTTTATTCATTTTTATTTCAGTTTTAATTGCTTTTTGTACATTTATTTTAGTTCAAACTAAATGAAATTGAGAAATGATGCCTGGGCAACAGGGTTACTATAGTTAACTAAAACCATACAAAACCCTTGTTTTTAATAAATAAAATAAATTTCAACTTTAAAAAAACTACTGCTTTACTCTTAATTATTTTATTTCAGCTAGCTGACAAGGCAACATTTTTCATGTAGTTTAACATGATGCAATAAAATAACTAAAACTGAAATAAAAATTTATAAAAATAAAAACGATCAAATGTGACCAAAACACACAAAAAAACTGAAATTAAAATCAAAACAGAAATTAAAAAAATAAAATGAATATATTAAAATGAATTAAAATATGAATGAAAACTATAATAGTATTTCAATACTAGAATAACACTAATTGGCAACTAGCTGAAATAAAATAAACTTAATACGTTTTCAAGTGTTTTTATGTTATTTTATTTTACTTAACAAAAAAAGTTTTTTTTGTTGTGGTTTTAGCTTTAGTTAACGATCATAACTTTGATAGATTTTACACATACCCTAAATACCCTAATCCTAAATAGGCTACCAAATATCATGGGCTACTGGGTAATGTTAGTACATAATGTCGATAAAGTCACACTGAGCGGAAATAGCAGACATATTTCATTTGAATCTGTAGTGAAATACCATTTCACACACAAAAGCGTTATGAATATGCAATTTCTGTACAGCACAGGCCCTGATCAGGAGCTGTACAGTGTTTATCAGCATGTGCATCCCTCTGTGCATCAGAGAGCATCTATAACTGCAAACAACGGTCAGTGACTGTGAGCACTTCCATTGCTTTTATCCTTCATTTATGCTGCCTTGTGTTTATTATTAGACTCAATACTCAATTTAGTGCACTGATTGTTCTGGCCTGCTAATAAAGGCCTCACGTGTTACATAACACATCAGTGCTGTCAAAAATACACAAAGATGTGAAATACAAGATATTAGGACCATGACACAATTGCACAGCATTTCACATCTAATCATTGCACATAAGATGATGCATTCAATACTGTGCATATTTTGTGATGCAGAACACTAGGGAAAGTAACGCAACTATATATATATATATATATATATATAGAAGCTGTTTCAAAACATTTGCACCCAAATGCATGACAGTTAACACCTATTAGGCCTATGTATGGAAATGCATCACGCAACACGGAAGGTGTTGATTTGTCACCTGATCTGTCTCCGGAATGAAAGCGCACCGATCCGTCTTTATAAATCCTGACATGTCCCGCTCCTCCGGTCCCAGCAGAATCCTCCCGAGAAGAGCGACAGCACTGGTAACACACAGCCCACGCCTGCTCCTCGTTGATGGGCTGCTTGTACAGATGTAAAATCTCGTCCAGGGACAGATCGCCCTTATCCTCACTGTCCATGATGGGACGCGCATCCTCCTCCTCCTCTATCAGCCTGTGTCCGTCATCATCATCATCTTCATCCCTCCTGCGAGCCATCGTCTCATCCTATCCAGCAGAGAGGACAGGAGTGCTGGAGATGAAGCACCGGTGCTCGGTGTGATGCTGATGCTGACTCTGCATCAGAAACGCGACGTCAAGCGAGGATCTAAAAGTAGGCGGAGCTTATTTAAAAAACTACGATTTAATTTTTTTTTTAAGTTTACGTTTGAAACGACATTTTTAAAAATCTCTTTATATGTCTTTATCAAAGTATAAACGATCTACTTTGCATATCGACGTTTAAAATTAAATTTTAAATAAAAATTATGATACACGTATAATCACGATACAATAATCTATTAAGTATGTTCAGTTATTACATTTGTATTATTTACATTTTATTCTCAATCTTCATTTGACCCTCTAACTTTAGCACTCTCTATTCTAACTATTTTATCTATTTGTATTCTTTTTTTTTAATATAAAACAACAACAACACTAGCCCCTTTAACACTTGCACTTTCTATTCTATTTCTATCCTAGCTACTTCTTTTCTTGTTTCTATTATAAAAAAATTATTATTCTATTTCTATCCTTGATTTCTTTTGATTTATTATAAAAAATGATCCTCTAACACTAGCATTCTCTATACTTTTTCTATTCTATCTACTTGTTGTCTTTTTATTTATTTACGTCTTTTTACTAATGAGGACAATAAAAGCAGTCAAAACTAACAAAAGAGCAACAATATATAAGTGCAAATGACAAGTCTCGGTTACACATACACACACACGCACACATATATACACACATACATACATATATTATACACAAACACACACACACACACATATATACACACATACATACATATATTATACACACACACACACACACACACATATATACACACATACATACATATATTATACACACACACACATATATATACACACATACATACATATATTATACACACACACACACATGTACACGCACACACACACACACACACACACACACACATGTACACACACACACACACACACACACACAAAGAAGATAAATATAGATAAAGTAGAATTAAAATAGAATAGAAAGTGCTAGAGTTAGAGTTAGAGGGTCAAATTTTATTGATATTAATTGCTTCTGCTGTTCTCATTGAAGTCGCTCTGGATAAAAGCGTCTGCTAAATTACTACATGTAAATGTGATCAAATTATCTATTATTTTAAAGCATCGCAATGTCACGTGTTACTTGTTACTTTTCTCAGCGCTGGCCAAAATGGACCAATCAGAGTGCTCCTCTGAGCCCTTAAGCGCCCCCTTGTGGAAGAAAACCAGTATTACATCAAGCAATAACTCGGGTGCCAAACGTTTTTTATAATCTTTGAAATTTCACACCGTTTTGTCTTGTGGGCATCACAGATCTCATATTCATCATAGACCGAAAACTGAATTATTATTATTATTATTATTTAATTATGACCGTGATTTGTTTTGAGCGAAAAACTAAATCTGTGGCCTGAGGTGGCGTTGATTTGCCACCAGAGGGTAATGTTACGCAAACATTTCTTGACATACGTTCTCATTTGAGCGCTTTACCTGTTTAATGATTCGTTTAAGGAATATTTCCATAACTTCAAGCTGTCATTTGATAAAATATATATATTTCTGGCGTAGTTTGACAGCGTCCTTCTCTCCTGTGTTGACAGATTAATCGTCGCCGTTGCTCGGCAACCTTCCTCAGACAAACGTTCAAACACGCTTACGTAATTAATATTCATGAGCGCAACCGTTACCAAAGTCTGATTGGCTAATTCGCCAACTGACTCGCCAACGTCTGGTTTTCAGCGAATCAGACGCGCTTGCGTCCCATTACGTAATTAATATTCATAAGCCTATCCTAGTTCTGCGCATGCGCTTTCTGAATTCTAGTTTCAAAACAATGGCGGTGGACGGCTTGACCACAACAGAGCAGTGGATCAGAGAAAAGCTCCAGCTTCAGCACAGCTGTTTAGGTAAAACAGTTGATATAGTTATATATATATAGTTATTATTTGATTAACTAATATTTGTAATGATTTATCGCAGCGGATGTGCGATCGTTGACTCTTCCAGGAACATACGAAGGGAAAATCTGTCATTTAGGAGCATCGCTAAAGAACTTTGTGCGTCTGAAGTCTCTGGATCTTTCCCATAATGCACTGCGCACAGTTCAGGTGAACATAACTGTGTACATAGTTTACAGAATCAGTTATTTGTTTGCTTTCGCCGTAGGTTATGTTTTATAATAAGTGTCTTATTTATTAAGTTATGAACATAGTTTACAGAATCAGTTATTTGTTTGCTTTCGCCGTAGGTTATGTTTTATAATAAGTGTCTTATTTATTAAGTTATGAACATAGTTTACAGAATCAGTTATTTGTTTGCTTTCGCCGTAGGTTATTTTTTATAATAAGTGTCTTATTTATTAATTTATGAACATAGTTTACAGAATCAGTTATTTGTTTGCTTTCACCGTAGGTTATGTTTTATAATAAGCGTCTTATTTATTAATTTATTAACATGACTTGGACAGTGCATATCATAGAATGAGTGTACTCAAATGTGAGTATAGAAATGAAAGAATATATATAATTGACTGCACATCTGTACGTTTACACTGTTGTGTATCTGTCATGCTGTTTGTAGGGGATTGAGCATTTGGAAATGCTGGAGAGACTGAATCTGTACTACAACAGGCTGGCGTCTCTGCCGGACGTCTTTTCCCTGCACAAGCTGCAGAATCTGAAGGAACTGGACTTGCGGCTCAATCCTGTGGTCAGGAAACACCCGCTTTACCGTTTGTACCTGGTCCACACAATGACCAAACTCCGCAAGCTTGGTGCGTCATCAGTCTACTCTCTCTCTCTCTCTCTCTCTCTCCCTCTCTCTCTCTCTCTCTCGCTCTCTCTCTCTCTCTCTCGCTCTCTCTCTCTCTCTCTCGCTCTCTCTCTCTCTCTCTCGCTCTCTCTCTCTCTCTCTCGCTCTCTCTCTCTCTCTCTCGCTCTCTCTCTCTCTCTCTCGCTCTCTCTCTCTCTCTCTCGCTCTCTCTCTCTCTCTCTCGCTCTCTCTCTCTCTCTCTCGCTCTCTCTCTCTCTCTCTCGCTCTCTCTCTCTCTCTCTCGCTCTCTCTCTCTCTCTCTCGCTCTCTCTCTCTCTCTCTCGCTCTCTCTCTCTCTCTCTCGCTCTCTCTCTCTCTCTCTCGCTCTCTCTCTCTCTCTCTCGCTCTCTCTCTCTCTCTCTCGCTCTCTCTCTCTCTCTCTCGCTCTCTCTCTCTCTCTCTCGCTCTCTCTCTCTCTCTCTCGCTCTCTCTCTCTCTCTCTCGCTCTCTCTCTCTCTCTCTCGCTCTCTCTCTCTCTCTCTCGCTCTCTCTCTCTCTCTCTCGCTCTCTCTCTCTCTCTCTCGCTCTCTCTCTCTCTCTCTCGCTCTCTCTCTCTCTCTCTCGCTCTCTCTCTCTCTCTCTCGCTCTCTCTCTCTCTCTCTCGCTCTCTCTCTCTCTCTCTCGCTCTCTCTCTCTCTCTCTCGCTCTCTCTCTCTCTCTCTCGCTCTCTCTCTCTCTCTCTCGCTCTCTCTCTCTCTCTCTCGCTCTCTCTCTCTCTCTCTCGCTCTCTCTCTCTCTCTCTCGCTCTCTCTCTCTCTCTCTCGCTCTCTCTCTCTCTCTCTCGCTCTCTCTCTCTCTCTCTCGCTCTCTCTCTCTCTCTCTCGCTCTCTCTCTCTCTCTCTCGCTCTCTCTCTCTCTCTCTCGCTCTCTCTCTCTCTCTCTCGCTCTCTCTCTCTCTCTCTCGCTCTCTCTCTCTCTCTCTCGCTCTCTCTCTCTCTCTCTCGCTCTCTCTCTCTCTCTCTCGCTCTCTCTCTCTCTCTCTCGCTCTCTCTCTCTCTCTCTCGCTCTCTCTCTCTCTCTCTCTCTCTCTCTCTCTCCTCTCTCCTCTCTCTCTCTCTCTCTCTCTCTCTGGCGCTGTGACGCTCGGATCAGACAAAGCAGAGGTTTGAACGTGAAAATGTTTTTATTCTCCCTCTCTTGCAGATGACTGTCCAGTGCGAGACCGAGAAAGAAAGGCAGCTCTCATGCATTTCTCATCCGAGGCAAATCTAGACACTAATCATAAGAAACATGCCTCGACACAAGACACAACGTGCAGGTGATGATCCTATAAGCTCTGTTGTTATCGGTAACTAAAACTATTAACAGTGGCTTTTGTCAGTTGAAATAAAATGAGATATAATATCGGATTACAAATTTAAACTTAAAAAACATAGAAAAACCTAAAATTTTGAAATGTTGCCTTGGCAGCTACTTGAAATAAAATAAGTAAGTAAAATGGAAATAAAAGTAAAGCTATATAGATTGGGAAAAAAAATTATATTGAACGTTTTAAATCTAATTAAAACCACTGGCTTTCCTGTAATGTCTCGGATGGTTTTTATCATTTTATATTTAATGTTAAAATAATGATAAATAATGTTATAATCTATTTATAGTTCTATTTTTGTTTGTTAGTGTCGTTTGCTTGTTCTTTCCTGTAAAGCACTTTGAACTGCATTGATTTGTTTGGAAAAGTGCTTTATAAATACAATTTGATTGATAAAAAAATGAAATAAATTAAAATGGAATTTTCCTTAAATAAATGGAACCTGAGCATATAAAAATAAAAGCTTATTTATTGTATTGTTAAATAATATAATGGTATATAAATAAATAATACTAAATTGAATGGTGTTCAGGTCATTGATTATCGTCACTGTTTTGCAGAAGTAGTGAGCTCCGAATCAAAGCCACGCAGAAGATGATGAAGACGCTCTCGCTTCTCGAGGGGAACGAGGAAGCTGCGCTTAATGATGTTTGTAGAACGAGAGCTGAAACTCTCTCCGTCCGCTTTGAGAACGAGCGCAGCCCTCGTCTGTTCCAGGGTAAACTCTCTCTGACTCAGACACTAAATACTGCATACATGGCTAATATTAAATATATCACCCAGCCACACAGATAACTGCGTAACACTTCCGTACCATATTTAATAATAGTATACTTTAATGTTTGTGTACAGATTATCTATGTCTGTAATTGTTTTTCTTTTTCGTATTTAGAAAATCCTTCCGAATCAGATATCATACATTTGATCAATGGACCGGAGTGCGAAAGGTCGCCAAAACAAAACAAGGTGCGTCGGCACATCTATTCAGTCATTATATAAACTCATTCAAAAAGCTTTCTGATTTTAGGTTTGAAAATTCATATAAGAATTTTTTTTTTTTTTTTAATATTAGCATTGTATTTTTAAGCGTACTATAAAACATGTATTTTTCTCACTTATTATTTTAAAATATAATAGTATTATTGCACTTTATTTATTATTTTATTTTATTTTAAAAAATCAAATAAAGTGCAATATTTATGAATTATTGTTACTATTAATAATTATTATTTTTTTATTATTATTATTTTTTAGCACCAATCCAAATCTCCAGGTGCTCTCATGAGAACCAGACTAAAAAAAACTTATGTGCACCCCTGCATATTAATATTGTTGTATTTATTATGCTATATTACATTATCAGTAAATTATATAATTAGTTATATTTTCACACAATTCATGTTTTATTAATTGTCTGTCATGTAGGAGTCTGTTCCCAAGAGCTGGGAATATAAAAAAGGTGAATATGTTTTTGTTATTCCACTTCTGTCCACAATTTTTATTTTATTTTATTTATTTTTACCGTCAGCCTGATACCTCCAGTACTCAGGATAGCGGTGGAATAATTGTATTTTTCTGATCGACTCTATTAGAGGCTCCTGCTGGTTCTCAGCGAGTGACGTTTGAGAGCCGGAGTCTGACTCACGCTACGGTTCGAGGAGAGAGCGTCTTTACACCTCATCCTACAGAAATGCGGTCCGATTCGCACGGTACTTCAGGACTAGTCTACTAGGCACTTTATGAATCTAGCTGTCTGATAAACCATGCATTACATATACATGCAAATATAGTTGTGTCTGTAACAAAGTGTTTTTATGTTAAATAAAGTGTCTGTCAAATGCATAAATGTAAATAAAACGAATGCATTTTGTTGTTGTTGATTGCACAGCTCTTAAATGGCAAAACCAGCTTCAGGACAGAGCAAATCCAGTCCTGCATCCTCCCAGATTAACCTACCAGATCACAGGAGCCTCGTCGGCATCACCGAGAAAATGCAAACCACAAAAGGTTTGTTGGCTGCAACTCCTCAAATGCAAACAGCTTTAAAAATCCACTTATTTATCCGAATGCACGCCTTTTCATCGATCTGAATCAGGGTGCCTACAGGAAGCCCATGGAGCTGCTCCTCAGCATGATGGAGGAGCTCTGGTCGGGGAAGAAGGAGAATCAACAAAACAGGACCTTCCTCAGTAAGTGATTCTCTCCGTAACAGAGCAATCCATAACTAGTGAACTCGTCTCGCTGATCCAGTGCTCTCCATCCAGTGAAGATGGTCCAGATCCTCAGCATGATGGAGCAGGATGTTGTGGCAGGAGAACAGCAGATACAAACTCTGCAAGAGATGCTCAAAGCCTTGAAAACACGGACTGAGTTACAGGAAAAACAGCATCGGTCTGAGACTGAAGATCTCAAACTCCAGCTCCAGCAGGCGCAAGAGTCCATCGTAAGATCATTTCAGTCAAATTATGAATGGTTATATTGAGCTAGTTTATTATTAGCAACTTAAGAAAAGCTCAGTGAATGTGATTTGTGTACCATATTCCAAAGTATATTAGGACAGCCCTCCTGTCCTCGAGTTGAGAGAAATGGTAAAGGGCTTTTACCGTTGACAAAAATTAAACTTTTGGGTTTTTTGTTATTAAAGGCAAATAATAAGCAAGCCCAGCCCAACGCATTACTTTCCATAAAAAGTAACTACAATTACAAAATACTGGAGCACAACACCAGTCATAAGGGTCCATTTTTTAAAATTAAGATTGATACATCATCTGAAAGCTTGATCAGCTTTCCATTGATGTATGGTTTGTTAGGATCGGACAATATTTGGTCGAGATACAACTATTTGAAAATCTGAAATCTGAGGGTGCAAAAAAATCTAAATATTGAGAAAATCATCTTTAAAGTTGTTCAAATGAAGTTCTTAGCAATGCATATTACTAATCAAAAATTAAGTTTTGATATATTTACGGTAGGAAATTTACAAAATATCTTCATGGAACATGATCTTTACTTAATATCCTAATGATTTTTGGCATAGAAGAAAAATTGATAATTTTGACCCATACAATGTATTGTTGGCTATTGCTACAAATATCCCCCAGCGACTTAACACTGCTTTTGTGCTCCAGGCTCACATATTATAATGCATTACTTTTAAAAGTAACTTTCACCAACACTGTTTAATATCAGGATTCATAAAAACTAATATGAAAACTATTGAAAAATAGCGTATGGAAATGATATGCAAATGAGGGCATGCATAGTAACACTAGGCATCATTAGCTCCATATATGGCCATTTTGGGGATGCATTTATGCAAGTTTCTTAATTTTGCAAGTCTAAAACATGACTGTCTTTTGTGCATATGCAGACTTCGGATGGAATCTACACTAAGTTTTTTCCATTTGGAAGTAAATAACGACAAGAGCTTTTTATCTTTCATACGTCACACAGAGAAGTTAAATGCGTTGGCAGTGACGTCTGCTGTTGTCTTTAATACAGCAAGCCCTTAATGAACAGATGAAGAGCGTGCTGGAGGAGAACGTGTCTTTACAGAAACAGCTGATCAAAGCAGAAAACAAGCTGCTGTCGTCTCGGCTGAAGAAGATGCCAGACATGCAGGACAGAGGTCAGTGTCTCAATACTAAGTTGTTGACATAAAACAGGTTATTAATGTTTGTGCTGGTGGATTTTTAGGACAGCAGACGGTCCCTGAGGAGTTAAACGTGAAAAGGCACACAATTCAGGAGGGCAACGGAGCGAATGAGCCGCAGGAGAGCTACAGGTCTGTGTCAAAGACGATCCAAATGCTACACAGCTATAAAAGCCACCAGCCTTTGTGTTGATCGAGTCTTTTTTGCAGGTCTTTGATTGCCAGAAATGAGCGTTTGCTGCAGCAGCTGGAAGAGGCTCTGATGAACTAACTGCTGCAAATGAAGAGCGTTCCTCCAATAGACATCTAGGTTTCATTTATTATAAATCTGCAATATAAAGTTACACCTCGTATGTAAATGCCTTTTGTTTTATATACTCTCTCTAAAGCAGTATGGCTTCTGTTTATGTCACACATGCATATCTTGAAGTTGTGCAAATTTGCTTGTTCGGTTCGTTCAACCGGAGTACTTTTCTATTCAGATGGACCTTAAACAGGATTTCTGTGCATCTTAAGAAGTCTTAATTTGCCCTTCCACAATTAAGGCCCTAAAAAGTCTTAAATCGGGGCAGAAAGTCCCGCAAAAAAATGAACATCTTATTTTCCAATGCAAATATCTAAACATCTTTAAACCAAGATACATTTACTTGAAATGCAAAATTAAGTTTTCTGAGAAACTGAACAAAACTAAATGAGTCCATGCTTAAAACAAGAACAAATCATCATAAAACTCATTCATTTTGAAATATTTTCTCAGCAAACAAGGCTTCTTATCTTGTCATTTTGCTTCTCAATGTGTCTTGATTTTTGATTTGGGCCTTAAATTTTTTTGAATTGGTCTGGAAAATGTCCTTGATGAAAATGACCTTTGTAAAACCCGCAGAAACCCTGCTGAAGCGTCAAATACAGAAAAAAGTTCCCATGTGACAACTAGCCCCGATCTCCACTGTTGCAGAACACAATCGCTCGAGACTTCACGTGCGTTGGAAATAAAGAAGAACCAGGCAGTTTGTTTTTTATTCAATACGATGCTACAAAACACTGACACGTTAAAATCGCTTTACCATCACCATATGACATGCATATCAGGATACTGCAGAACATTAAAAAACATTGTTTAAAAGACAGTATTGTTCCTCAAAACGGATGGTTAACAGTATTTGGCATTAATCACACAAAACATACGTTAAATACAACAACATATATACTTGTGGTTTGTTATCATAAATATGAGTCACTGTCTGCGGGAGAGCCGTAGCCACTACTCTTTTCTGAAAATAGATGTCCTGTAGAAGAATATGTCTGTACACTCTCACTCCTCCCTTCTTCGCTCCATAGACATGGACAATATTGTCGATGGGTTCCCACCATCACAGAGTTTAAAATATGTGATTTTCAGATCTGGAAAAGTCATAAAATCTTAAAAGTTCTTTTAAAAATCTGCTCTACGCTCTAAAATATTAAATTGAATTGTGAGTGAATCATTCTTTTGAGTCAGTTTTTTTTCAAGTGAATCAGTGATTCACAAATCAGCTTATCACATAAAAAATGTTAGGGAATTCTACATATGTGTCCCTGGAGCACAAAAGCAGTGTTAAGTCGCTGGGGGATATTTGTAGCAATAGCCAACAATACATTGTATGGGTCACAATTATACATTTTTCTTTTATGCCAAAAATCATTAGGATATTAAGTAAAGATCATGTTCCATGAAGATATTTAGCAAATTTCGTACTGTAAATATATCAAAACTTAATTTTTGATTAGTAATATGCATTGCTAAAAACTTCATATGAACAACTTTAAAGGTGATTTTCTCAATATTTAGATTTTTTTTGCAGCCTCAGATTCCAGATTTTCAAATAGTTGTATCTCAACCAAATATTGTCCGATCCTAACAAACCATACATCAATGGAAAGCTTATACATCAAACTTTCAGATGATGTATAAATCTCAATTTCGAAAAATTGACCCTTATGACTGGTTTTGTGCTCCAGGGTCACATTTGTGTTTTCCAGATTTGGAAGAGTCATAAAATCTTTTTAAAAATGCATATAATGAATATAGATTTGACTAGTAATGCTGTTTTAAAATATTAAATGAACGAAATATTGTGCTTGCATCGAGTAAAACATGTTTGCAAGCCATAAAGCGGCCTGATTTCTTTTGAACGAGTTCGTTTGAATGATTCATTAGTGACACAGTCCACATCCAGTGTTCACACGCGACTGGAAATCTCATGGAAAGTCACTGAAGTGTGGGAACCCTGAAGGTTGGATCTCGTCCAGCGTGTTCAGATGGCAGTGCGTTTATAAATAAATCTGAACACTAGTTATGGTAAAGGGAATGTATTCATTTAGACGTACATCATGCCAGCGTAAGATACAGCATGTCACTTCTCTTGTAAACATTGTTCTGTAGGCAGAAACACTGCACGTATGAAAAAAAAACAGCAAAGCGCCTCGATCTGACATGTTAAATTTAACAACAGTGCTTTTCAAACTAAAACCAATACAAAATACCTTTTAATATTTTCATTTGCAGTTTGATCTATTGCTGATAAACAGGCCCAGACACAATCAGCAGGCTTCAATGCTGCATAATGGATTTTAATATGGTAAAATGTGCTAATAATAAAGCTTAGAGTAGGCTGAAAGATAATCAGATTAGCCAAAGTATTTTTTATAAATGAACATGCAATTTGATCATTCCTAATTCAGCGCTGCAGATTCTGTGTGGGCCTGATTGTGTGTTAAAATCATTAGAAACTTCAGCCAACTTTTTTGTTTGTGTCATGTTTGTCCAAAGCTTTTAGTTCAGATGCACAGAGTTTTGTAAGGACTGTCAGCCATGTTTCCCGCTGGTTCGACATTATTCGGTCTGTATTGAAGTATGATAACGCTTGATGCGTTGGGTCCGATATTGTGATCAGAGCAAATCCTGAACTTTTGCTGATGGTGTTTCCTTTCACATACTATAGCAAATCATTCCACAGTTAAAACACACAGGCAGTGTTTCATATTATACCATTAGAAATACTTAGTTATGCCATCAATTGAAAAAACATTGACCAAACTACTAGATATACAATCTTGAGCACCAGCGGTCAGTTCTTTATGCATCAAACAATGATCTACGATGGTTGAACTTTTGCATCCGGTTATTTTAAAACATATTGCATATAAATGCAAACAAAATCAGATGTTTTTTTTTTTTAAATCTAAATAAATGAGACCAAACCAAATGTTTATCAAGTCAGTTTTTTTAAAGCCATTAATGCATCAAATGAAAATTTGCAGAAAATATGCTCACTCTCAGGCCATCTAAGATGTAGACGAGTTTGTTTCTTCATCAGATTTGGAGAAATGTAGCATTGCATCAGTGTCTCCGCAATGAATGCTCTGCAGTAGTCTGAGGGTGAGGACATTTTAAGCAAGTTTTTATTTTTGGATGAATTATTCCTTTAAATTATGTGTAAATAATACTAAGACAAATGCATTTAAATATATTTTATCTTAGGCCTGAAACATACCCTACATGCATGACCTTCAAATTTAAACTTAAGATAAAAGCATCTGCCAAATGCATTAAATATAAATGGAGATGGAAAATGTGCAATCTTAGTTTTGTGTTGTTGTAACAAAAATCGTGGGATCATGGACTTGCACTGCATTACTCAAGCATTTGCAAAGTATATTTCAGGCCTGATTCTACTGCATCAGTGCAAAATGTCAAATATTAATTTCATGTCAATATTCACGACAGATTAACAGCAAAACCTTCACTAGTAGAGCGTGCAATACTGTAGCCACCTGTCTTTCTCTTGGCATCATCGTGTTTGTTAGGAACGTACCAGCTGGTGACGTCGGCGTTTGATGTAAACAGCGTTCCAGTTAATAGAAATAAAACACTTACAGGAACAGGAGCATAAACTCAATGTTATTCACAGGAAAAGACGTACCCTCAATGGAAGATGGGAAATGCATTTGTGCTTTATAGAGTCGGGTTTGTCTTCTGTTGCGTTCACTGCTGGATGGAGAACCTCACATGGGTTTTTGTGGAGGTTTTGAAACTTTTTTCTCGTATGACCCTGCGTGCTTGTATCCGGAGACGTATCCAGACGCATCCACCACTTCCACTCGCCCTGCCTTGCCCTTCCCGCGGCCCGTCTCGTCGAAACGCTCCTTGTGCGATCCGGTGAACTTGGTGGTGTCGGTCAAACGGGACACAGTTGGGGAAGCCACGGCTCTCTGCGAGTCCAGAAAGAGACTTGTGATAAATTCCAGTTTTTAAAATGTTTTCAAAAGTCTCTTGTGCTCACCAAGGCTGCATTTATTTGATCAAAAATCCAGTAAAATTGTGAAATATTATTACAATTTAAAATAGCTGTTTTCTATGTGAATATCTGTAAAACTGTAATTTATTTCTGTGATGCGCAGCTGAATTTTCAGCATCATTACTCTAGTTTTCAGTGTCACATGATCTTCAGAAATCAGTATAATATTCTGATCTCAATAAACATTTCTGATTATTATCAATGTTGAAAACAGTTGTGCTTCACAATATTTTTGTGGAAACCATTAAAATGTTATTTTTCAGGATTTACAGATGAATAGAAAGTTCAAAAGAACAGCATTTATTTCAAATAGAAATCTTTTGTAACATTATAAATGTCTTTACTGGCACTATTGGCCAATTCAATGCATCCTTGCTAAATAAAATATTAATTTCTTTAAAAAAATCCTTCTGATGCCAAACTTTTGAACATGACTGTATAAGCTCATGTCTTCATATTTATAAATATTTATCATCACTGCCATATATTTATCATTATTACATTTAGAAATCAGCAATGGTTTAGTTATTTATTCATTCGTATACATTTAAAACCAATAATTAAAGAAATAAGTGAGTAGATTTCATTTGTATACCACAGCAAAGATTCCCAAACTTTTTTGTGAGCCAAACCAGTTTAATCTAAAATATTTACTTAAAGTCCCCTTGAGATTTTAATAATTTAACAATAAATTCACATGTTTTGGTTCTTGATGTTGGTTAAGGGCCACATTAAATGCAGGTGAACATAAAATACATATTTTTTCTTTATAGTGTTTTATTTGTATTATTCAAATGAATTATTTTACATTTTTATGATTTAATTAATTATAAGCTTTTCATCAACTCATGTTTACATTTATGCATTTATCAAACTTTTCTCCAAAACGACTTACAAATGTTTGAGAAAACAGGATACCATCAATGCTTATTCGTTTAGAGAAAGAACAGCACGTCTGCTGTGGGCTTTACCGTGACTCCAGCTATAACGGGCGATTTCCCTTCGATCATTCTGTAAACCTCTTGCGCGGCGTCCTCGCTGCTCTTATCTTTGAAGCGTTTCCTGGCGAGCTCTTCGAGCGCTTCTTTGAACTGGCTGTATGTAATAGTGCGCGCAGATTTGCTCCTAGAAAACAATGACAAATGGATGATAAGCTCGTCAGTATATTTGGTGGCATCAAACATAAGCACAGAGCAGAGCAGAAACATGCAAGACCTGATTAAAAGAGCTTCTGTAAACACATGAGAAATGCTTTGAGTGACACCGAAATTAAAATATCAAACATAATTAGC